GTCTCATTACACAAAAACAGAAATGAGAAGGAGGAAAAGTTAGCAGGAAGGAGTTAGCAAATGCTTTGGGAATGGAGAAGGGAGAAGACACAAGCTTTCCGTGTACAAGTCTTAAGCTAGACTCATCTAGTAATTCATTTTTGATTGTTGTTTTTCTTTGGCTTACTGCATTTCACTGGAGACATATTTTCACTTAGGAAAGGATTGCAGCAGTTTTAAGGAGCTCCTGCAAGCATTTTCTCCTGCTGCTTCAAGCCCCAGAGCAGAGCTGATGGGAGGGAACATAGCAACAAGTCTCAGTTAATCCATGCAATGTCTGTTGGTTTAATTGAGCTGCTGCAGGAGATTTGTTTCAAGCTAAGCTACCAGTTGTAGCACTGGAAGGTCTGAGGGACGCAAACACATGGATCCATGCAAGCCAGATGTGACAGATCTGCAAAGAACAGCATGGACACTAACTTCTTAAACTATTGTAGGTAGGCTTGCTGACTTGTACGTGCTGACTCTCTCATTTTCCCTGAGGCAAATTGGCAAGTCCATAGACAACCCTCCAATATCACCATTAATAATGTTGCTCTAAGTATGCTTTGGGCATATTACTAATATTTTATATCACCTATATAGTGTCCTGCCTCATCCGAACTTGTAATTTAAAATTATATAGGAGATATCACCTTTCTCTCCCTTGACAATAGTTTTTGCTGGGGTCTCCCAGCTTTTAAATCCTGCATTTCACAGCTTGCTCTCTTTATCTTCCATGCTGCTGTTCCAAGACTCGCTCTCTCCTTTTGCAGAAGATGGATTTTCTCTCTGCCTCGAATTCTTTCTTAAAATGTAAATCCCCATGAAACCTTTTGAACAAACCTCCCCAGCTTCCAGACACCACTTATTTGACAGCTTTAGGGGTGCTGCCTTGGGCAGCTGCCAGGCTGCTGCCAGGAGAACCAGTCCCACTCCCATTGCTCAGCCCCATTCTCCTGCCGTTTCCCACAGCGCCCATCAAGCTAGTGTGCTGACTGTAGGAAACCCCAATTGATTCAGGTTTCTGACCAGCATGCCCTATGATATCTGGCCATGGCTGCAAGAGATCTGCAGCGGAGATCTGAAACAGAGCAGCGCCACTTCCCTGCACTAAATTGCCCTTTGTGAATACTTGCCCTATCCTATGTGTGCCCCCATACACAGAACATGCATATGACACTATGAGTAAGGCCTTTTAAAACTTCTGTATGTTTTAGTAGCCTAACTCTCATTTTCAAATTAAAATTAAGCACTCTGGCAATGGTTTCATTAAAATCAGTGCAAATTAGGTAGACCTGTATGAGAACAGAATTTAGACATTTAAGATGCTTTGCCCTTCTGAAAGTACTGTCTCTGAACTATACCAAGTGCATTTTGCTTTCCAGGGATTGATCCCAAAGTGCAGAGCTGCATCTTAGCCTGTCTGACTGAAATCCAATCCTTCAGTACAAACATGTCATCACTTGTAGCCCCTCATGAAGGTTTCAAACTGGATATACTGAAGCTGCAAGGTCAACACCTTTAAGAGCAAAACACAGCTAGCTGCATAATCTTTATACATAAACCACAGGATATTTCGCTCCTTACTTGCCAATTCAGCCTATTTTAAAAAAGAATCCAGCAATTCTAATGTTCTTCTTTGGAGCTGACTGCTGAAAGATTCTATCATAATAAAATACACATGCATAAATAACATTTATTTATAGTGCTTCTACAGGGATTTTCAGTATTAATTTCAGGAATTGCTTTATCAAAGAAATTGGGGGGAAGATACCAGTACTGTATTTCCTATGAAAATTTTACCAAAATATCAAATATATCTGGTAAACCTGCTGTTTAGCTCTAAATTGGCTCTTGTCACAGCTTTTTAGGGAAGTACTTGAAGACTTTATGAGTCTTTATATTTTATTAAAATACATCTTTTCAAAAAGGTACTTGTTGAAGTACATATTTTGTTCATTGGTCAGATTTCATTTTAGCATATCCCTGATTATGATGCATATTGAGTTAACTGCAATTTTAAAATGTTGAACACACGGGTGCTTGCTTATAGCTAATCAGGGGACTGAACAGTGTCTCAGGTAGTTTTTGCTCATAAACAAAACGCTACACAAAAAGCAAGCAGGTAAAAACAAATATAAGGTGTTCTGAAGGAACATTGGACCAGGTCAATTAGTGGTGGGCAGGTAACTGGCTTCTTTGAAGACTTATTTCTTAATAACTTTACTGCTAAAAGAGCAATTGCTAAATGAGTGGTTTTCCTTCCTGTGTTCAGGGTTGAAAAATGCACCCGTCACTCATTAGCCCAAAGTCTGAGTCAGCTAGACAGTGTGAAAAATACCTGGCACTCAAAGCTCGTATTTAGCCTCAAAGCTGTGTCCTGCCACTCAAGAAGAACAAAACAGCCGTGCACTGTTTGTGACCTTCCTTTAGTTGTAACATAGTGTCAATCACATTGGTCTTTAATCCTTTCCAAATTATAATATGTATCTCCTATGCTTTAATTTTACTTCATTCCCCTCCTCACTTGATTTTTAGTTCTTTTATTCCTGACAAAAGAGGATACTATCTCTTTCCATTATATTCAGTATTTCATCTGAGATTTGTGATGTTCGTGAGCTTTTCTTCACTTTGCTTGTTTCCTTTACACTATTTCTATACCTTTACCCACCAATATTTAGTCTCTGATTTCTCTTCTGGGTTTTTGTCTCCAAAATCCCTCTTTCTTTCACTACCATGATTTTTATTTCTAGTGTATCATTTCAGTTCTGGCTTTCTACCCACCAAGCAGATGGTTAGACAAACGGGGAGGACGTCTGTGATGTCCCAGGGCTTGTGATGGTCACAAGACCTTACACTGTAAATTAAAGTTCTAAGTCCTCAGGTTGTCTTGAATTGTGGGATCTAAAATGTAGTGGTCTTATCCTCCCTGCCTCTGTCTTTTGCCTGAAAGATTAATTTGGAAGTTTGTTCAGAAGGTGAGCTTCTGCTCTTTGGGAAGATCAGCTTCTATTTCTTCCTTTAGTTTTGTGGTTACTAAACAAATTGTTTCTTTTTCCCAGATTTCTATTTTGAATCCTCTTCTGTAACGTTTTTTTCCAGTTGTCATTCATAGTTTCCAAGCTGGGGAGAAGTCTGTTGACTTGATAATTTTCACTGCTATATTGACAACTCGAGCTTAAGTTTTCTATCCATGAAGAATTTCAGAAATCACTGAGCAGTGGAAAAAATAACTAAAGTGGGAAACTCATGGATTCAGGAGGGTGTACCTTCATTAGCTTATACTCAGTTCATATTTGAATTGTTAATTTTATAGGCATTTAGGTGGGCAGTTGCTTTCAGCTTTAAACAAAAAGAAAAAATTTCTGTGAATTTGATAACTTGCTGAAGAAGCTTCCATCTTTTTTCTTTTTTCATCTTTTTTTTTTTAGGTAAGTTGATTTTCAAAGCCTGGCAACATGTGTTCACACTTGTAGTTTCAGCTGTGTCTGTACATCTAATACATTTTGTCTGCCTGAGGAGGAAATTCACTATATGGTAGTTAAATATGAGCAAATGTAGTGTTGTCTTTCCTGTGCTAGTTGTCACTCTTACATCTCTTTCCAGCATAAGCTTCCTATGCATAAAACAGAAAAGAGTACATATTACAGTAAGAAGAACTATATGTGCAAAAGACTATACGCAGTTATTCAAAGTATTAGAAAAGTTTCTGAGGTGTTTTTTGTAGACCTATGCTTTAAAAAAGCTAGAATCCACAGCCATCATGTGAGGCCAAAGAGACTTCTTCAGCTTTTTTCTTATCTGAGGTTGTTGACCTCAGGAGAGGAGGAGAAGGTTACAGGGTCAAAGTCTTTTCCTCCTTGGAGCTTGCTGCTTGCTGGGAGAGGGTTGGCTGGAAAATAGATGTTTTAGAAAAAGGGTTGAGGGTCATGATTTTAATTCTGTTTGGGAACAGCTGGTTTGAGTTTCTTTCCACTTCTGTCTTCCCTCCCTTCCTCACAAATCCATGGAGAGAGAAAAATTTGTTCAGAGGAAAGCAGTAACACAAAAATAAAGGATTGCAGTATTTTCATGTTTAAAATACATCATGTTTGTTATAGGACTTCAATTAAAAGAGAGAAGAGGAAATTATTAAAATAATTGAAATCCATTATTGTTTCAAGCACTGAATTGAGATTGATCTGGAGTGCCAGAGGTTTATTTGTTTTCCTGCCAAAAGTTAAATTGTTAATAGTAATGTTCTAATGGGGTTTTTCTTTTTTGTGGATAAACTGTGCATTACAATTTTTAATTTAATGATGGACAAAGCTAATTAGGAGTATGCTGTGTTAGACTGCATATAGTCACTGAAGAAAGAGGGTTTGGTTTGGCTATTTCTGTTCAGGTTTTCTTCATCTTGGCATGCTGCTTTCATGCACTAAGACCAAAGAGAGAGAAGGAAACTCACAACTCTCAAATGAATGGCAAACTAGGAACAGATTTTTCATCTGTGCTCCTCTGAAACACTGGCCTCAGGCTGTGTTGGTGTGTGGCTCAACAGCAATCAGAGGTCATAATTTCATTGGCGGTTAGCATCAGGTTTAATTTTTCTAATATGTTACATTTACCAAAATGTCTGGTTTCAGTTACACTTATGCACTGACTGAATCAGCTTTGAGCAGCATGATGTTTTAAGGTATCTGAAAGGCTACAAGAACGTTTATGGAACACATATGCTAATTGTTTTTAACCACTTTCCTTTCTAAACACAAAAGTGTGTTTTTGGAAAGCCAGTTAACAGTAGTAGCTAATGATGGTGTGCATTTATTCCAAGAAATGAGCACAAGGAATAGGTAAAATAGTTGTTTTAACAAGACTGCCATCTACTGATTTCCACAATTAAAAATATTCCTGATGAGTAGATTGTTCACAGTGTTTTATAGCTTTACTTTTGTGATTTGCAAGATCAAGAAAATTATAAAGTCTTTCTTTTGCCTTAGGAATGTGACCAGGTTCACATTGACGATGTGTCTTCAGACGACAACGGTCAAGATTTAAGGTACAAGGGAACTGAACAAGATAAAACATTGCTTTGCAAGTTCCTTCCTGGGAAAGTGATGAACTGCTGTAACACAGTAGCCCTCTCTCCTTTTAGCTGTCCTAGCCTTTGCAACCCAGCAAAGTGGTGGTTGCATATAGCTCGTTGCCTTTTGTTAATCTGGGGGTTTTCTTATCTCTGACTAGCACCTACAACTTTGGAACAGACGGCTTTCCTGCAGCTGCCACAAGTGCAAATTTGTGCCTTGCAACAGGGGTGCGTGGAGGAGTGGACTGGATGCGAAAATTGGCTTTCCGCTACAGACGAGTAAAAGAAATATATAATACCTACAAAAATAATGTTGGAGGCAAGTGACTCTGGAGTATCTAACAAATATGGAAACAGTAAAAGGGAAGGACTTCTGCTTCCTGTTCCGTTTTTAATATGGTAGTATTCAGCAAGCTGTTTAGTTTGCAGTGTATGGAAAATTGTATATGAGCTAATGAAAGCAAAGGAAAATGACAGAATGTTACTTAATTTCAGTGCAGACATGCCCTTATCTACTCTACAGGTCTTCTTGGTCCAGCAAAAAGAGAGGCTTGGTTACAACTAAGAGCAGAAATTGAAGCTTTGACGGATTCTTGGTTAACGCTTGCATTGAAAGCACTCACTCTTATTCATTCTAGGTGAGTACAAAGTGTACGGGGTAGTTAGGAAACTGTGGGATGTCTGCTGATGATCTAGGAAAAGCTGCCTGGCCAGGTGGACAAAATGCTGAACCTGAAGGACCTCCTAACTCCTTGTTCTAGTGTGGTCATGCCACTACGTTGCTTTCCTGTAAGATGGAAAAAAAAATAACCTTCTTTGAAAGTGGAAGTAATAACAGTGAGGGTTTCTGATGGGAGGCATAACGTTTTCCTTTTTCTGTTTTTGGTTTGGTTTGGCTTTTTTTCTGTGTTGCTTTGTTAAAAAAGGATGTTCCCTTTTTCTCTTCCATAGGACAAACTGTGTGAACATTCTTGTGACAACTACTCAGCTAATTCCAGCTCTGGCAAAAGTCTTGTTATATGGACTAGGGGTTGTATTTCCCATAGAGAATATTTACAGTGCAACTAAAATAGGTGAGCTATTTTTATAATGTGATACACTTGAAGCTATAATTCTAAATAAAAATATATTATAGTGTATGTTTATTTATTACATGCATTCATTAAGAGTTACTGACATTAGTAATACCTGATCTTAAGAAACACTTTTCATGCTAAAGCATCCTAAAAGTACTTTTCAAATGTCTGTCATGATCCAGCACAGAAAGCTTCTATAGCTCTATTAACACTGATGCAGCACCTGTTAAGAGGAAGTATAATTGCTTTGTGTCATCATTTCTCAAAACTGGGAGGCTATGTAGCAGTTGAGAAGGCTTTTTAGTAGGCTGTAAGTACAGAACACTAAAGTCTGCCTGTATTAGCAGAAGAAATTCTATAAAGGTAAGCCCTGGCTCCATTTGTTGTCATGGGCTCTGGCACAGATTTTAGTAAACAATTTACCAGAAGCAGAAATGTTTTGCTGCAGAATGTGATTATTTAAGTTCATTCATACTGGCTGTAACAGGCTTCAGCCAGGCAAATGTTTATTTCTGTTTTCTGGTTCAATATAAAAGATGTTATTCTGAGTATGTAGAAGTACATAGGACCAGATGGCAATGGTGCTTGTAGTTCTTAACGTGATTATGACAAATCTGCTCTGTCTCAGATTCCCTCAAAATTGTGGGCTGCATGAAAACATTTTTCATGTGTTCTTAAGTGTCTACATACAGGAAGCTTAAATGGCTGAGAAAAAAATGGTTGGTTATTTTGTTTGGTTTTGTTTGAAAAAAAGCCAACAAAACTTGGGAGTTTTATGTAGAAATTTGAAAGCAATACTATAAAAGATTTAAAACTGCACCCTGGATAGAAATATCATGGTACTGTCTGTCAAAACTTTAAAGTAAATTAAAACTTTGAATTATAATACTCTAAATACACATTTTAATTAAAACGTGTTTTAATAAATATTCACTTGTGACAGGATGACAGGTTTGTTTTTAAAAAAAAATGCATTCAATCACTAACCTTCACAGGAAATCATGAGAATTTTGTAACATGACATGATTCATAACTGTCAAGCACCTTTTCAACCTACTTAGTGTTTGAGGTTTCTTATGCCTGGCGTTGTTATTAAAAGTTGTCATTTAGTAGTTTGACTTCTCTGCTGGCTCAAAACCTTTAATTTCCAGCCTATTTGCCCTTACACTGGTGTTGTTCTGTAGCTGAAATAACTACTTTGAAAAATGCAATTTTTCCCATCGGTTGCTGTAGGCACACAGGTAAGCATGTACTGTGACCACACTGAAGTGATCTTTCAGAATGGGGACATTAGAGAAAACTCAGCTGTAAGCATTTACTTTCCTTCTGGCTTACCAATACCTGAAGCTTACCAGTATCAATACCTGTGTGTAGAACTGGAGTACTGGGATCATTTCCCTAGGTTTGTGCAGTGAAGCAGCGAACTGCATTAATGGATCCCAGTGCAGTGACCGTGTATTGGATTACAGGCATTTAAATCTAAATTTTTTGGGTGACATTCTAAGTCAGGATACTACTGTTTCAGGAGCTGTGATTAATCTTGTCACAGGTTGTGGAGAAAAAAGCTAGAATTTCAACTCAGATTCAATCAAATTCTCGGTTTGGGATACTGGCCGTAAACAGCCAGTACAGAATTCTCCTGGTATGGAAATTCCAGAAACCTGTCTCAGATTAGGGAAGGAGACAAGAAAGGTGATACTGTAGACCTCTAGTATGCTATGTCTACCATAGCGTGTGTACTAAAGGGCCTCACGGAGCAGATTTTAAGGGTGCTTAGTTGTTGCTGTGGCAGCAGGAAAGCTTCAATCAGCCTTGATACACCATCCCATGGGAGAGGCTCTTCTCTCCCATTAGCTCTGCTTGTATATTCAAAGTGTTGGAGAGATCATGCTAAAAAGTGATTTATTTGATGTCATCCCATCACCACCTATCCTAAATAGCCTGATCTTTTTCTTTCAGGAAAGGAAAGTTGTTTTGAGCGAATAATTCAAAGATTTGGGAGAAAAGTAGTGTATGTCGTTATAGGGGATGGTGTCGAAGAAGAACAAGGCGCAAAAAAGGTAACAGCCCTTTTTCAGTGTGGGTTGATATCAAGAGTCTGAAAGCAAAATTGTCTTTTCTTTGATATGGGACAGTATGCATTGATTTGGGTTTTGTGTCTTTGCTTTATCAAATATGTTTTGACTGGTAGAAAGCAGCATAAAAATGTAGATGATGACGTGCCCTGCTGTTCTCCGAAAGACACATTAAGCTAGCTATGTATGTTTGATGTATTTCAAAAAGGAGCCAGAAAATGAACCCCAGCTTTTGTGCCAAGAACTAGTAGTTCTGTTTTCATTGGCATCCCAAAATGCCATATAGGATGAGTGTAAGCAAAAAATGGCAGTTCTTACTGGTCAAAGGCAATATACAAATTGACTATTACGAAATATTTATATGCCACACCTTGAAAAGATATGTAGGCCTGGAGTAGGTATACATAAATTTCAGTTTTCTTAGAATGATAGAGTAGTTAGGGTTGGAAAGGATCTTAAGATCATCTAGTTCCAACCCCCAAGTGGGTCAATAATTTGGATTCTGCATTGCGGTAACTACTTGTGGCTTGTCCTGTTCATAACCTTATTTAACTGAGCAGAGGATACTCTTTGACTATGTCTTCTTTATTTGTTTGCTTTCGTCCTGTAAGAAGGAAAAAATTCACTTTTTTATCCCAGTATGGTGTAAGCTTCATAAAAAGCTCCAGTAAACTCCACTACTTTCCACTTACAAATAGGCAGTATTCCTGGTCTTGCTTTTCTACCCAAGTACAGCAGATACAGACTCTGCTTGGAAGAATGAGGCATAATATTGGCTATGTAAACAGTAAGAGAAAGAAAATGGGCATTTCTGTTCTTGCTTCCTTTTACAGGTATTGCTTTCACACAGCTGCTTTTTTTACAATGAAACGCTCTGTGGTACTTCTATATCTGTTTCCACTATAACTTCCTAAATTGGAGAAGTGAAACTAATTAGTCTGCGTGGTGTTTTAACAACCATTGGCTGGTTTTGCTTCACGAAATCTGGGTTTTGTGCCTCCGAAGCATTGTGATTAGGTTCCCGGCTCGTCCCAGCACTTCATAGAGTCTCAGTTTCATATATCCCTTTGGCGGATTGAGGGGAGCAGTTTGCTCCTTTCCCCTTCAGAAGTGCCTTTCATCTTTGTGCAGAAATGTTTTCCCGCTGTAAGTGATTACATTTTAAAAGCTGCATTTAAGATCAGGGAGGGGGGAAAATTCTTCTCTTTGTTCCTTTTCTGGTGGTCGGTGAAATAGTGTTGTATATGATAACGGCAGGAGTAGTCCTTTCAGTAACATTATCTAATTCACTGCTTTTTTTCAACAGGAAACGTGATTCAGAAAAGCCTCTCCAGTTGCTAAGACAAGTGGCAGTATAGAAAGTTCCTTTGTGCCATTAGTTCTGTGTATTCTTACTCAGTGGAAGGAATTTTCAGATTCAAAGCATGTTAGATGCTCTGGATTAAATTATCTGCTGCAGCAATGCCAGAGAAGTCAATAAGTAGACCAGCAGCCCTGCCTTCCTGTAGAAACTATTAATGTGATTGAGGAAAATGCTTATTTGATTCTTGTCCTGCTCATTACTCCACTGAAAAAAGAAGCCACCCTATCACACTGTGAAAGCAGTATTTGCCTCTTGAATTTGGGCCTTGCATCTTGCAAGAGCAAGAACCACATGATGCCCTGCAGTTCTAGGAACTGCTCCCAACTCAGATGATGCCTTTTTGGTTGTCACCCCCTCAGGTTATTTTTAGAGTTATTAGGAGGAGTCAGCATGGGAATGCTCCTTAGTGTAGGCTGTGCTTCAGTTTAAAGATGTATGCCCTGTTTTAGGAATAAATTGTATTGGTGTATTAGAAAACAGTAAAAACCTAGACCTTCTGTGGAGAGTGTGCAAACAAAACAGGAAATTTCCCTCCCCAAAACCATGCAAACCCCAGCCATCCAAAGTGGTATGGTGTACATATCCATTGCATTGCTTATCTCCTAATAAGCACTTTGCTGAAAGGATCTGGCCTGAGGTGAAGCTCTTAGTATATGTATGTTTCTTTACACTACTTAGTAAACAATGCACCCTTCTTTAAATAGCATTTCATTGATAACATGTAAACTATAATGACTATTTTTAAGTGAGCATGTAAATTCAAGTGTATTTAATTTGAGATATTTTTTAATTCTGTGTTTGTGTAATAAAATGAGCTGAACTTCCAGCTTAGGAGGTAAGAAAGTTAAGGTTTGATATTTACCAATTATTTATCAGTTGCTTCATCATAAAATAAGATTTTCATTTATGTCCTTCATTCAGAGAAAGTCCTGATCAATACAACAGTAGGAAAAATAAAGAAAACATTTAAAATCTCCTTTTTTATTGGCATTATTGTAAAACTCAATAGTAGAACTTTTTAATAGCGTTTAGTATCTCATTGATGTTTTGAGACTCAACATTTTCATGACAGACTGGGGTTTTGTCACAGAATGCCCCTTTTGATTGACGAAAGCAAATACAATCCACGGAGGAAACCACACGCTCTTACATTTCACATAGCACGGGACAAGCCATGATATCAACACCTTTGTTTAACTGTTCACCCCCAGCAAAATATTTTATAAGACAATTAAAATTCTCAGGACGTTTGCGCTGTAGACTGAGGAATAATCGTACCCTTCTGGATCAGTTCAGCAACCAGCCAGCTTGGCTGTAATGCCAGGGTTCACACAGAGGTTGCTACCTTTGGATGAGCTTCCCTGGGAAAAGAGGGAGAGGAGGGGAGAGAGAAACTGGTGTGGGAGTCAAGTGGTGCTTGGGACGGCTGCCGACATCCCTGTGGGTGCTGTGTGGGTCAGAGCCACTGCATCTGAGTGCCACTGTGGTGAGACACAGCTATTAGCAGAATAAATTTCTGGTGTTTTCTGCCAGAGACTCCAATGTCTTGGCATTTTGTTTTGCCTTGTTTTGGTTTGTGTTTTGTGATTTTTTTGTTTTGTTTAGTTGTGTTTTGTTTTGTTTAGTTGTGTTTTGTTTAGTTGTGTTTTGTTTTGTTTTGTTTTGCTTTGTTTGAGCTCATCTTTTGCCTTTGCCTTTGGAGACACGGTAGGGAAATACTCATAAGGCAGAAAAACACCCCTCAACTCCTGAGTTTTTCTACTTAAGAGAATACTCCAAAGGATTTCTAATTTGCAAGAGGAGACAAAGAAGGAGGCTCTTTGCACTGAGAAGCTGGATTTTACATCAGGTGATTCAGGAGAGCCTGGGCAAATCGGTTTCTCCCTTTGTCTCCAAAATGGTCCTGCTGCCTAGGAGGGAAATTGGGAGGAAAAATCATAAATCTTTGTGGAGCAATAAATAGAATATAAATGGGTATCCAATATGCCACTGCTTTTAAGCTCACAGTCATACTGTGCTGGTCAGGTTTAGGGTAGGAAGTAAAGACGACCGCTCAGCACATCTGGCAGGAACACAACAAAAATACTGTGAAAGATGACAGAAACTGATGAGTTTTCTATTGAAATCCATCACAAATCTCAGGAGTAGAGTTTTTGTACAAATATGTATTAATTTAAGGGAAGGAGTACGGTCTGCACTTTTTGAAGTTGCTGTCAAAAAATGGCATTATTTTGTATCTGTAATTACAGAAACACTATTTTGTTGAAGAAAATAGTTGAAGTTTGGTTCTTTTAGTAATACACACTGAAAAATAATATTGCTTCTATGTCAGAAATAAAATACCTTATTTTCTGAGTTTCTGAGTAATATTGCAGTTATTAGATTTATGAAATTAATAATTTCACTCTTCATGTTTTTTACACCAAACCCAAATTCAATCTTTTGCCACTATATTTCATTTCAAAATGCCATCATAATGAAATTGTTAAAAGTTTCATAAATATATTTATTACCAAGTATCATCTACAAAGCAATGAATGTTTTTTTAAAAGACAAAAGCTTCATATGTACTTGGAAGATATTAAAATAGTACACAATACCAGTCTAGATACATATTCCAATATGCAATAAGAAAAGCTTTCCTATAGTTTCATTAGATAGCATAGCATCCAGTTACACCACCTATTTGTTAGTGGTTAGCATTTGTCATCCATTCTCCCACAGCAGCAGATGAGATATTAGCATTTTTCAGTGTGCTCAGAAGACACACATTGTACATGACATGTGTGCTAAGTGCTGGCAGGCATGGCTTTCTAAAGGCAACATTAAATATATATACAAAGGAACTCTTGCCCAGTCACTCTGTAAGAAAAAATGTACTTATGTCCTTCTGTCTCATGGGTGTATTGCCACTTTTGACAGGGCTGAATACTTGTGGATACATGGAGCATGTTAATACAAGAATAATGTGTAAGGTTTATTATGATAATTTTGTTACTTTAAATGTTTTAGTTTTGTACAGTCAGATAAGGTGAAAATTACCTTATATGCCTTGTGAACATATATGCATATATATGGACATATACATGTGTGAGACTGCACATACATACACAAACATATACATAAAGATATATATATAGATAGATCTGTACAAGTTTTTTAGCTGTGAAGCTCCTTTTAGATGTGAAGGCTGTGCTATAGGGTCAGACTGATAGAGATCTGAATCGGCTGTGTTCAGCCATGCACAGAGCACCAGTGCAGATTCCAGCCCTGTGCAGCCACCGCGTTCCTGCCGTGCTTTATTTCTTGGGAGTGTGCTGCTTGTCTTTTGACCTATATGCAGGAGAACTGAAAATAATTATGATCCTGAGTTTTACACAACCTCTTTGTTTTCATGGAACTCTCCAGAATCATTCCATACCTCACTCCTGTAACTATATGGAGTAAATGGAGGTATGCTCCTTTTCACAGATGGGCATAAATAAAGCAGAGGACACTTGAGTGAATTTGGAATAGAAAGATACAGCCAAAATAACGATCACTTAAAGTTTTGGTTTAAAATCTGACCATAAACAGCTGAAGGTAATCCAAAACTCGATATTGCATATGGCATCTAGCAAGAGTCACTGTAATTTGATTTAGCAGAAGCTAAACCTTCTGTTAAATCAATCAGGGTCTTTAACTGCCGTAGCTGCCTGGTGTGTGTATGCTCTGTGATGCTGAGGTTGTTACTAGGGAAGCAGTATAATGCTGGAGCTGCATGAAGTGGGAACTGGAAGCCAAGAATTTATTACTACAATTCTCCCTATTCATTAGTTTGCTGTATGACCTTGGAGGGCATCCATGTCATTGGCTCCTGGCTTCTGCAGACACATTATGCAATGGCAGGTGTCCACCAAACTCTTGACCACACCATGTCTTAGGCTGAATACACCTCTCTGACCCAGTGGTTGTGGCAGAGCTGGTGCCAAGCTGACTAGGAGAAGCAGGGAGCTATGGTTGGCTGGCAAGGGAGAACAGGTAGGTCCTACCTGGCTGGGGGCTTGTGAGAGAAGAAGGAAACTGCAGTGTGCAAGGAAGGGAGGCAGCACTGCCGAGCACTGCTGGCCAAGTGCAGTTGGCTGACAAACACTGCACAGACCTGCTGCAAGCCCAAACCTGTGCCTGTTTGTCCTTGATGTAATACCCCTATCAGATGCTATAAATTACGCCAGAGAGATCTCACAGCCTAAATAAGAGATAGGTGCATAAAAGCTTTTGGAAAGTCTGGAGGACTTGAGGTATTTTTATTTTGCTTTGCTCTTGCTGTTTCGTTTCCTGATCATGGTGAGAGAAATTAATCTTTAGGAAAGATTTGAGTTGGAAAGCAGCAGTGTCTGACCTGACAGAGCACAGAGGATAAACTGTCTATAATGTAGCAGGGAAGAGACACTGGGACGTGGAGTTGTGAATGAGCAAATTGCATCTAGTTTCTTTTGCTGGTGAAGTGTAGGGACAGTACAATGGAAGTCTGTAGAAATTGTCGGTGTCATAGTCAGTGTTTAACACTTCCTTCGTAAGGAAAGGATTATTCTGTAAAAGTGTTTTGGAAATATAAACATTTTTTTCCAACAGCATCTGAATTGCCTCTGAATTTGTTTTGTTCTCTCCAGAAGCAGCTATTGCTCATGCATTTATCGTCAAGCTGAGATTTACTCATGTTTCTTAAGGCTTTGTAACAATCCAGAGTAAAGTGAAGTAGAACAGAAACTCTTCCAGAGATGCTTCCTTGTGGGTCATTTTATTTTATTCCTAAAGGAATTTCTTTGGTGTGAAAGCTTGGCATACTCTGAATGTGGGCATCTGTTGATGCATCAATGTTGCATTGTAATTTAGATCAGGAGTGTCATATCAAAGTGGACCTTCCAGTCATTCCCCCTCATTATCCTTCGATTAACGTCCCGGACTGGTTTTAGGGGAAAAACAAACAAAAACACAGATTTCTTTTGGATAGAACTAAAGAACAGTATACTGCCCAGGAGCTCATCAAATGCTTTCCAGCTGCTAATGGCAACTTTTTTCTATGTTGGCAGACTAGAGCTATACTGAAGTGAAAGCCACTTCCTTCACTCTGCCATCCTTCTAATTGTGCAACTCTACTTGCTAACATTTGTCCTTCACTGGGTGCACATTTTCCAGATTCCTTACAGCGCTCATTTGCTGATCATGTGTGACTCTTTTGTCTTGCTTATTAATAATGAATTCAGTAATATCTGCTGGGACTCTCACAAGAGCAACAGTTGATTATTGCACAGTTGCCGTTTGACTTCAGAGAGACTTGCCATTACTAAATGGTTGCATTTCTTTTTAAAATCTCTTCTTTATTCTATCAATTCAGCCCAATTCATCATCACACCATTATCGGATAGAAGCAGCATTCTTCAAAATAATAGTTCTTTATAAACTGACAGTTGTTTACCTGAGCTTCTAAAGACAAATTTATGATAGCCTCTGTGCTAAGGTGTCTGCCTTCTGTGGTAAGTATAAGGTCATATTATAGGGCTTACAGTAAATATGCGGTTGGAAAGAGGGAGTTTCACATTGTTTTCAGATTTGTTCTCTAACTTAAAATTTGAGAAGACATGAGTAGAAAAAGGAGGTCAATGTCGAAGTGATAATTGGAAGAGATGGAGTTTTGCCACCAGTTTTAATAGAATTAGGAATTTACCCAGGAGGTGCTGAAGGAGGATGAAGAAAGCCTCACTGAGAAGTTGTAGATAAAATGTCTGGGGAACTCAGAACCTACTGTGGTAATACTGCTTGTGGTTTGCCTCCTGAAGATGCCAGGACACAAGCTGAACCAGTGAAAAGATTAACATGATAGTGCTAGCCTTCATTGTTGAATTGAAATGGTTTTCCCATGGGATTTATAGAATATTTTCCTGACGGAAGTTGATGGTTATCTTTTTTGTTGTTATCACTTATGCAGAAGTTCTTGCTGACACTATAATTCCTGGCTTAGAATATAAAAATGGTTCTTAATCAGATTTTTACCCTTCATGGATGAGGTGATTTGTGCTCTTTCCCAGTATTTGTGTTTTTGGTTTATTCAGGTTCTTTATGAACATCTTTGTGCTCCAGACATATTTTATTACAGCTATTAGGGGGAAAAAATGCATTTATTTTAAAATTGCCCCATATGGAAAGTATATTTTAAGATCAGTGCTAACAATGAGCGATGTTATACAAACCACTTGGGTAAAATTCCTTTCAAAGTGATGTGAGCAACACATGAGCTATTCTGAACCACCATGGCTATGTTCTTAACTCACCTGCCAGGGATAGTTCCAGAAGGAACAAACAGATTTTGATAGTAAATAATACTTTCTCTTCCTCTATTTTTTTTAAGCAGGTTTTGTTCCCTTCCTCAAAGTACCCACATGCTTCATGTATAGGTTATTTTTCTTCTTTTTTTCTAGAAGCAGTATTTTCTTCTGCAACATGCTAAAATCTGTTTTTCCTATAAAGAGATGAGAACCCCCTCCCTTCCTTATGATTTCTTCACATTTGCCATTGTTCCTGTTGGTAAATAGATTTGCTGTTACTGAGAATTGATGCTGAGGGGGTGGGTCAAAGTAACCAGAGATAAATGTGAAGGGCTTGAGGGTTTTAAGAGCTCTTTTTCTCTCCTTGCAGCATTCCCTTATACTTGCGAAAGACAATGGGTGGGTCTAAATACCAGAATGCTTGGGGTTATTTTTACATGTTGTCTGTGCTGTTCGCAGCATGCTATGCCATTTTGGAGGATCTCGAGCCACTCTGACCTTATGGCCCTTCACCATGCCTTGGAACTGGAGTACTTGTAGCAGCTCAGCAGCACTTTCAAACCTCAGAGCCTCCTTCTGCCCGTGGATGGGATGCCTGTGTCTTGTGTCAGCATTGGACTGCAGAACTTTGTGATTTCAACATGTTGACGTACAGCTGCAATTGGTCTTAACCCTTGCCCTTTCAGTAAATGGAGGAGCATGTCTTTTTCTTCAGAACAGCTGTTGACTCTGGTACTGCGAGTCCAACGAAAATAAGCCATGCGAGTGTTTGAACAACTCATCTTTACTGTATTTGCTACCAAAAAGAAATAGAGAAGGAAAGGAAAAAAAAGTAAAAAAAAAAAAGAAAGGAAATAAAAGGTTCATACCTGTGAAGAAAAAAAAAATGACCTGCAAACGCCTTCTAGCTTTTAGACTTTTCAATGTGACACACACCGATTCTTCAACACAGCAAACTTGATTGCACAATGAAGACTGAGATTTCTCAGAAATACCAGTGGAGTAATTTTCTTGTAAAGAAGGTTTACTTTATGGTTTCTCATACCCAGGGTACTCTGTACATCTTTACTTATTTATGAACAGACTATATTTTGACATCATATAACTGAGGATATGTATAATAGGATTGAAGGCTATTATAAGCCTTCGCCTTATGGTACAGCAACTACTTTTGATTTTAGCACATTACAGAGTAGTTTAAAATATGTCTAATTTAAACTAATAGGTACATCACTGAGACAATCATGTACAGGAAGAATTTTTTGTGTAAATTTGTAATAATGATTCTTTTACATATTGTTAAGGTAAATGCTATTGAAAGATAGTAATGCCTTGTTGGTGAAGAATGAGGCCACATGTGCGCAAACTGTTGTGCAGTGCCTTATCAATGTGTTGGATATAAATATGTAGATAATGGATTTTTTTAGATAAATTTGTCAAGACCAAAAGCATGGATGTCAAGTGTCAATAGGAATTGGGTTTTGTTCTTTCAGCTGTTTCTCTACCTTTTTCTTCTCACCTACTCTGATTATTAAACGGTTGATTCCTCCCCCCTAACCTTACCCCCCCCACCACAAAGGAAATACAGATAAAACACAACTGAAGAGAAGTCCTTTGCTGTCTTCTGTTTCCTCTTTTAAAGTTAACATATTAACCCTTTTTTAGAGTATTGAAAAGTGAATTAGGATATTCATTCCATAAAGAAAAAGAGAAAGAACACAGATATATTTTAAGATGTGACTTAAACTGGAATCTTGGTACTGATTAGTTTTTGTCTCATCAAAAATGAAGGGAACTATCATCATCATTATTTTTAGAAATTAAAAATGAAAATGTTTTGAAGAAATTGAACAAAAATACTTGTATAAATTTAAGTTTTTTAATCCTCTTCCACCAGGAGTCAGATTTTCCTAAGATATAACATCCATTGCCGGCAATGGAAATACTGAAATACTTATCTCCAAGGAGTTAAAATTTGCTTTTGTCTATACCTATTTACAGGACAAACCTAAACTCTGTCTGTGACTTGTGACTTTCTAGTCTTCAAGGCCATGAGCTACTTGGTCAGATAAACTGTTAGTCTGACTTTTTGGTTTGAATTGTACCAATTCCCTTTGCCTGATTTAAATCTCTTCCTTATAAAGAAGCCTCAGCTTTGTTGGATCATTCTCCAGCTTTTCTTCTTGTTTTCTTTTGCTAAGAACACCAGCCTTGAAACAGCTACCTGCAAAGCTACAAAGCACCAATGTAGCTACAAAACAACACCCCTCTCTATTGGAGGAATCATATTGCTGCTAGAATTCAATGTTTGTGGATTGCTTTATTACCAACAGAGAGGTTTCTGCCCTGCCAAGACTTGCACATGTGCTTTACTTTACCCTGTATGAGTGCTGGAGTTCATGCAGTACTCACATACATGCATAAAGCACATTGTGGGTAGTTTTTAGAACTGAGAGTAAGATTAGTCTTTGTTTCCTCAAACAAAGTAGACAGTGATGGGGTGTTGGTTGTCTTTTTTTTTTTTTTTGGCTTTTTTTTCTATTTTTAGTCACTTGCGGACTGAAAAATCAAAGTTGATCTGGGCCTTATTGTACAAAAGTGTGTTGTGTCCACAATTGTGTACAGAATTCTTCTTCAGTAATTTCGTTTTAAATTAATAAAATTGATTTGTGAACGTATTAAATCTTGTCTTGTATGCAAGTCTGTGATATTTCTGCTGTCTAGGCGAGGAACAAGGAGACATCTCTCATCTCTGTGCTGTTCCAAGGCAGTTGTTCACCTGCTTGTGCTCAGCTGAGACATTCAGTAGAATAAAAAGTATATCTAGTTTGTATCTATCTAGATTACAGAAGGCCCAGTTCGATGGGCAGCATTTGTTTTGCTTATCAGCAGGAGCTGGGTGAGATCAGTGCAGAACAGGGACTTGGTGCACAGTGTCCTACAAATGCGTGCCTAAGTGACTCAGAAGTAAATGCCTGAAAGTTAGATACCTCTGAATGTCATCCAAAGCAATCCATGTGCTGAATGGATGAGTCCATCATTCTCTGGGCTGCATGAATTCTCTCATCCTCTGAGGACCAAGAGGCTTGAACATATCTGGGAACTGATGCACTGACTGCAGTGCTGAGGTGTGTTCCTTGGCTGTCCGTAAAGAAACACTGATTATTCTACTGAAATAATTTTGGAGGTTTTGGTGTTTAGGCTGGTGGATGATGACCAGGATTTAGAGACATCCTCTTTCATCATTGCTTCTGATCTCAGAGCAGTCTCAAACCAAGAACAAGAAAGTGCAAGTTTTTCTTAGCTCCAAACATTTGCTTCCAGAACACTGGCAGGCCTGTAGCTAAACATTATCCTATGCTTATATTAGGCATGTAACCTAAATATGCTGCACTGTGAATCAGCTACTTTGATACGTGAACCTGTTTTAAAAAAAGTTGCCTCCAGTCCCTCATGTATTTTAAACTTTTGCATCTTAAAATGATTATATGTACAGTACTGTGGATGTTTTTGAGGTAAAAGAAGCCAGATGCAATATATTATTCTGCTGTAATCCATTAGAGCATTGAGTTTACAGTGGCAAATCACAATTACAGCTTTACAAACTTTTGCTTATACTGTGAAGATGAAATTGAGTTTTTTGTTTGTATTTCCATCCATTTCTTTTAAAGCTGACCACCTAATAAATGGATGCAAAACAAGACCAAGAAACTGCTTTTATGTATGTGACACCACCACTGAAGTTGGATGCTCAGAGTTAAAATTATGTCTATATGTTTTTAGTACAGCACCAATGATGTTGGGAATTAGTCCAGTGAAGTAGTCGCTTAAATCCCTTCTGAAGTCTCTTAAGGCTCAGGAAACTAGTTATTTTTTAAGGAACTTCATATGAAGACCCTACTTAAATTGAAATCTTGTAAGAAAGCAGAGATCTCTGCAGAGTGAAAGGCATCATGTTATGATGTATGTACCTCATAAGCTTGGGGTCTGCTTTTTGGAACGTATCAGTACTCCTAGAAGTCTCCATTTCTCAGCTGCTCACTTATAACAATGTTCAGCTATAATAGCTTTAGTTCTAAGAATATAATGCATCAAAATCATTAGACCTATGTAACTTTGAGGTAGTGACAAGAAAGTGAAATTAATAATTATTATTCATGGCTTTCATGACTGGAAATCACGCTCAGTGAGTGGTATCTTTGCCTCAAAAATGCTTGCAATGCAAGCCAATAAAATATTGTTAGAAATTGTCCCTTGCCTTTTCCTTCAAATTTCTGCTTTTCTCAGTGTTGTGATTCTTGAATTCTTCCCTGCAACATGAGTAGAGGATGGGTGCCAAGAGGCATGTTGCTTTGTGTCATATGTCAAGGGAGAGGCACAGTCCTGCACGAGTCTTCCTCTGTTCTTTGACAATGGCAAGGATGCACAGCTGCCACTTTTGTTGTTCTCCTCTCAGCCAGGGACTGGCTCTAACAAAACCATCAAGTTCCTCTCTGTAGGAAAAGGGCTAGAAGAAAAAGGGAAAAGGAAGAGGAAAACAGTGAGGTCCCAGGCTGAAAAAAAGGAAGGGGGAGAAGTGTGAGGGTTGCAAGTCTCCAAAGAGGATCTGTAGGTAATCAGGAAGGGTCACTGGGCAGATCATCCAGCACTCCCAGATGACCTCCCAGCAGCTGCCTAGTGCTCTGCCCAGGCGTGTGATGGGGCAAGGGACTGATGAGAGACCCCACAGTCTCTTGCCTACTCCATCCCACCATCTTCATAGTGTGGATGGCCAGCATGGCCACAGCAAGGAGGACAACAGGGTGCTGTAACAGTGTGGGCCTGAGATGAGGATGGTATAAATCAAGAAGGGGCTGGTCACAATCCCTTTTCTGACTCCCCCTGAAAATCTTGTGCTGTCCCCATTACCTCTGCACAGTTGGGGTGCAGCCTCTCTGTGTGCCAGGAACACCACAGTAGAAAATGGAAATCTGTGGGGTACGTGTCCTGGAGTCCCTCCACAGCCTGTTAACTGTATGAACCTCCCTGTAATATATATCTGTACACACACACATATATATATATGTTGCCAAGCTTGGTTATGACACCAGATTTTAAATGGTGTGTTATTGAGCCTGTTGCCTGACTGACTTTAAAGCAAACGGTTTGCAATAGAAAATGCCCCTTACTCTCATTCTCCAGCAGAGCAGGGAAAAATAAAACTCTTACATTTGACTACTCAAATCATCCATCTCTATAACTGTCTGTCAGCATTTCTTTTTGTGTCAGTGCAAATAAACTTTCATATTCTGATACATTAGGGAAAACTATATTTTTCATATTTTACTAATATTTTGCATTGCCATTTCTGGATTTTATGTGGCTATTAGTTCCTACTAATGGTGTTAGAATAACAGCAGAAGGAAAACAAAAGGTTTGGATTTATCCAAAGGAAAATACAGCTCTGCCAGCTCCCATGGAAGCCACACGATACCGCCAGCTAACACCTTGTGGAAGTCAGCCCAAGGCACAAGTATGTATGTTATTAGCGATCTGCCCTTTCCATTGCTTCACCGCCACTGGCGGGTTTTTTTTTTGCTGGGAAGAGGCGTTTGTGGCTTTGTTTCTCACCCACTCCTTGAAATATTTTGCATGGACTGCTGTCTACTGCTCCCTGAAGGGCTGGCCTTTGACACTGTGCTATTTCCAATCTCATGTATAGATGCAGCAGCATTTTCCAGAGTGGGAATTGAACCATTTGCAAAGGAAGCCCCAGTCTGCTTCATTTTCTTCATTGCCAGCACATGTCAGAATTGACATGGAAGTGAGGTGAGAGTTAAAGATTGCATTAAACTGAGTCCCTGGGAGTGCAGAGACAGGAAAGATAATGCAGAGGAGGTAGGGAGTGGTTAGAAAGAGAAAGAAAAAATATAATTTGGTTTGAAAAATACGGGATAAAAAATCTGGGGTAAAATAATCCAAAGCAAGGAGTAAGGAAGAATGATGAGTTGTCCAGCATAGAGGGAATTGGCTTTATGTTTAGGAAACCAAATTTCACTTCTTGGCTCTGCCACAGAATGACCCAGGTACATTGCTAGAGCCCCATCCAGCAAAAGGCTTGGGCTCAGCAAAGCTGTGTCCCAGTGGCTGGCCACCATCCAGAGATTCAGCTGCTCATGTGTGCTCTCAATGAAGAGAGCTGGGAGCCTAAGAGAGTAGCTGCTGAAGCCAGCTGCCAGCACCAGAGCTGTGCATGATATCCTGCCCTCACCAAGAGACTGGGTACCACCTCTCACCCTTTGGCTGACAACTGTGAGCCCTTTCCCATGCAGGAGCAGAGGCTGCCTGTCCTAAGACACATGGCAGGAGGTGCCCTGTGTCCTGCACAGCTCCTGCTGCTCACTCTATCTGCAGAAACAGTGATTAGTGACCACTTGCACAGGATACCAGTGACTTTAAGACAAGTTGGTTTTCAACCTTATCCAGATGTATGTGTTCTACTCTTGGGAATCTGCCTGTTGTTAATACTCTCAGAGGGTCAGAGAAATTTTGTGGGAGCAGACGATGGTAGAGAGGGAGCAAGTGAGCATGCAGGCTGTCAGAGAAGCACACAAGGATTGTGTTTGCAGAGCAAGAATATTTTGCCTCTGTATAGCTGCTAAATGCAAAATAGAGAAGGTTCTGGGAGCTGGCACTGAAATCTGGGCTCCTGACCCTGAGGCATCACTCACACTGCAGAATTACAGTGGTGCACTTTGCTTAGCTCAGCAAAATCCGCTGAGTGGACTGAAACAGATTCAGCAGGAGGGAGAAACGATACCCGTTTTCCCTCCTGTTGTGGTTTAACCCCAGCTGGCAACTGTGCACCACACAGCCACTTCCTCACTTCCCCTGTGTCAGGATGAGGGAGAGAACTGGAAAGGTAAAAGTGAGAAAACTCAGGGGTTGAGATAAAGACAGGTAAAGCGAAAGCTCCACACGCAAGCAAAGAAAATTAATTCATTCACCACTTCCCACCACAGCAGGTATAGAATACATATCCCTGTGGTCAGTTGGGGTCAGCTGTCCCAGCTGTGTCCCCTCCCAACTCCTTGTGCACCCCCAGCCTACTTGCTATTGGGGTGGTTTGAGGGGCAGAAAAGGCTATGACTCTGTGTAAGCACTGCTCAGCAGTACCGAACACCTCCCTGTGTTATCAACAGTTTTCAGCACACATCCAAAACGTAGCCCCACACCAGCTACTATGAAGAAAATTAACTCTACCCCAGCCAAAACCTGCACACCACCTCTCCAGAGTAAACAAATGCAGTTCTCGGTACAAAGATGAGCAACTGAATAGAAACAAAATCATGACATTCCCTTTTACCTCAGTAAATGCTGTCATTCCAGAAGGGATTATTAATTTTGCATTAAATTTATGTTCCAGCTCCTAAATCTATCTATGCAGTCATTATTTATATGTGACTCACTAAACATTGAGTAGAGCATCTGTCACAGATATCAGAGGTCTACTTACATGTCACTTGGTGCTTGTCATTAATTTGGGGGTCACAGGAGGTTAGTCCAGTAATATCTCTGCTACACAGCACTCCACTACGCTACACTGAGACACATTCTAGGACTTCTCCTGATGTTCTCTTATAAAACGAGAGTTTGAAGTTCAATTAAACAGGCACAGATTTATCCTCTGTAACAGCCTTCCTGAAGCATTTTTGT